TCACTAATGGGGTGAATCCTTTGTGGGTACACTTGTCACTTCTTTGTCATCCAGTGCAATTCACATGTTATTATGAATGTAGCAGACCAATGTGGTGGGATGTCCAAATGATGCAGGTCCTATACAAAGGCCGCGAGAGCTGATGCATTTCTGGAGCTAGACCCCAAATGTATGTAACTGCCCATCCCATGTGAATAAAAGCTACTTTCTTTCCTCTTTAAATTGAAATACTCATGGCTACTATTCATACTGTTGCATAGTCTTTCAGATAAAATATATAATCGCTGGGCCTTTTGGCTTAAGGCTCCTTCTCTCCTTTAACAAGCCCAATATGTTTCTGGCTGGTCTACCATGTAAGTTTAACCTATTTACGTGTTTCATGACTAGGAAGTTGAGATAGATCACAAACATTTGTTTCACTGTAGGCAGAAAGCTATAAGTAAGGGGTGTGTTAGATCTTACCAAAGAAGAATAAACCAGATCTGCAGCCCAGGGAACTCAGGAAAAGCTGAGGATACGTGACTTCAAGTGCATCCCTTAGGACTCTGACCTTCGTGTGAAACGCTTGTCAGGGTTGAGAATTTAATTTTCCTTGGTGCTCTGTTCTTCTGATAATAAAAGTCTGGTCCCCATTCTAAACCTTTGCAGCCATGTAGATGTAATGTCTCTTTATAGGCTTCCAAAGAGACCGTCTTGCTTTTATGCTTTGCTTTATAGTGGTAATTAATCACCCTTGGCTTTTCATTGTCCTTTTTTTTTTTTTTTTTTTAATACATTAGTGGTTCCCAGCACTACGCATCCAAATGGCATGGTCCTAATAATAGCTAGTTCTTTTAGATTTCTCAAATATCCCAATCCAATTCACCTATGGAGAAAATGTGAACAATTATTTTCTATCGCATTCCAGGGGTTCATTGTAAGCTTGCCAGAGATGATCAGGTTCCAAGACCCCACTTTAGAATCTCCCTAGAACGATTCCTAGTATCACAGGTCAGTTTCCCAAGAAAAATACAGTGAGATCCTAAGATTTTTCACACAACAAAGTCACCAAGAAGCATTCTGTGAAGCACTGTGGGGAGTGAGAGAATGAGATTTGGGCTGAGGGAGTACTTGAACAGTTGTGATAGGGCCCTCAGCCAATTAGAAGTCCTTTGACTGGATTGGCCCTACAGAGTTGTTCAATGAAGGCAAGGAGGTCAGAACTTTGCATCTCTCACATTGATTAGATGCTAAATATGAGTTGCTCTGGGGAGCAGTTATTAGCTTGGGAGAGACAGCTTCCTTCGGTTAAAGACAATTTCTGCACAGGGACTCAGCTATAATCCACCTGAAGGCCAACACTTCCAGCATATGAGGGACTGAGTGCTCTGGGTCTCAAGAACCAACACAAATGTCATGTCTTTTGCCAGAACCTGCAAATGTGACTTTGTAAGAAAAAAAAAGGCTATTTCCTTTTCAGATATCATTAACTATCCTGAGATTAAAAAGATTTTGAATGTCCAGATGGAGCCTGAATCCAATGGTAAGTGATCTTGTGAGTCAGATGGGAAGAGAAGAAATATGACCAAGAGATAAGGATGTTGGAGCCATGAGCCATAAAGGACACTGGAACAAAATCTCCCCTATAGAGTCTTAGTAGAAAGCATAACCCTGCCAACCATGACCTTGAGTTGGACTTGTGGCCTCTAGAACATATATTTCTGTTGTTTTATGCTACCAAGTTTATAATAATTTGTTATGGCAGCCTCAAGAAATGACTACACCCAAGATTCTTCTCTTGTGTTCTAAAAATATTCATTTCTCTTTGTCTTCACAGGTGAGTAGTATACTTAAATTCTAAGTTTTGCTGCATATTCCGTGTGACAAATTTCCACTGGACTCCTTTAGATTTTAAGGATATGGGGTAAACATTTTCTTCAGTAGAGGCTGAGGGACCTGGAGAGGCATGAATACATATTTTTCTGGGAAGAGGGTTCATAGCCATCTATTCTCAACAAAACCTTAAGGCTTCAAAACCCTTTAAGAAATTCTGAGTGTAAGTTTGGACAAATGAGAGGCACTGAGATCTAAGAGAAAAGAGAACAAAGACTAAAACATACAGAGTTTGTGTTTAGGCTTTGGGAGCAGGAATGTGTTAAGCTAGGAAGCTTGAAATGCATGTTCTTGGAATTGAGTTTGGCATTCTCCCACGTGCAGGTGAGGAAGCAGAGGTTAACGAGGCTGAACAAAGGCTTCCACAAAGGCAAACTCCACCCAGCACCATCTGAGGGGCAGGAAATTCGTTCTGGACAGCATATAAAATTTTTCTTTAAAAAGAATTCTAAAAAAGTTAAATTTTCTGCAGGTAAAACTTGCAGGTGAAGCCAGGTGCCAATGGCTCATGCCTAACTCCTCAGGAGGCCAAGACCCCAGGATTGTAGCTCAAAGCAAGCCCAGACAGACAAACCTAACAGACTCTTATCTCTTATTAACTATCAAAAAATAGCAAGAACTCATTCAAGCACTGGTAGCTCATGTCTGTAATTCTAACTGCTCAGGAGGCTGAGCTCCGAGGATTGAAATTTGAAGCCACCGTGGGCAGAAAAGTCCCTGTGAGACTCTTACCTCCAATTAACCACTCAAAACCTGTGCTGCCTTTCAAGTGGTACAGCACTAGTTTTGAGCACAAAGAGACTCAGGGACAGCACCCAAGCCCTGAGTTCAAGCCCCACAATCAACAAAATAATAATAACAACAACAACAATAATAATCCAGAAGTGGAGCTCTGGCTCCACTGGTAACTTTAAGTGAAAAAGCTAAGGGACAGAATCAAGGTCCTGGGCTCAAGTCCCAGTACTGGCACGTGCGCACGCGCGCGCACACACACACACACACACACACACACACACAAATAAATTCTCAATGACAAGTAAATAGCTTAAGAGGGAAGAAAAAAATCAGTTTACAAAATACAGAATGGTGGCTCATGCCTGTAATCCTAGCTACTCAGGAGACTGAGAACTGAGGATTGTGGTTCAAAGCTAGCCTGAGCAGGAAAGTCTGTGAGACTCTTACCCCCCAGTAAACTACTCAGAAAGAGCTGGAAGTGACGCTGTGGCTCAAGTGGTAGAGTGCTAGTCTTGAGTAAAAAGAAGCTCAGGGAGAGCACACAGCCCTGGAGTTCAAGCCGCAGAAATGGCAAAAAATAAAAAATAAAATAAATAAGGAATAGGATGAGCACAAGTATGATGTAGAAAAGGAAACAAGATATATTTTCAGAATATATCTCTTGCTCTGAATTTGTGGAATGACAGATGGGGAGGGATGGAGGGAAAGTATGATCAGAGAAATTCTGCTTCCCCAGAAACTGGGAGAGAACTACCCCAATGGCCTTCTAAAGCAAAATTCCCAAGTGTTTGTACAAATAACCTCACAGATGTTTACAGTTCAGGCCAACCAGGACTGTAGAGCCAAAAGCAGGTGAAACTGAAAGCCAGTTTTCAGCAGTTTATAATCCTATGAGAAATCATCTCTTAAAGAACAGGAGAGTGGTACCTGACCGTTTGCCAGACTAAAGGCTTCCCTTGCTGCACCCTTGGGATGCAACATCCACTGGCTCATTTGTAATCCATCACGACAAATGTGCTGAGCATTCAGGAGAAGCAAAACGCACATGTGTGTGGAATGGGCCAGACTGTAAGGTCTCTGTTCAAACAGGGATTTCTTTTCTCAAAAAAAAAAAAGTGTTTCATAAACAAGAGAACATCAAATAGGAAAGGCCCAATGGGATATGAGTGTGTGTATGTATATTATATAAAATATAAAGCATATACAATATATATGTTATATATATATAAAACCTTAGCCAGTTGATATAAAGACAACCTCTCAAATATGTATCTTTAAATCAATTACATTTATTTATCTGATTATGAGAGCAGTAAATGTTCAATATTTGAAAGATTCAGAAAAGTACATGGCAAAAATAAAAATCAGTCATACTCCTATCATTCAGAAATTATTATTGCTGAAGTTTCATATATGTATGTTCTAGTCTTCTACATGTATATTCACCCATTTGTCTATCCATGTAACATTGGTTCTTTGCACCAAAGAAAATGTACTATTTAAATTAAGACAATTTATACACATTTAACATCCCAATGTGTACTACTTTCCAAGGACTATGAAACTGATAAATCAATACATAAGGATCATAAAAGTATTATCAAGATAGAATTGCTAATGATACATATGCTATAGACCTTTTTATTTTTTTGGTTATGGGGCCTGAACTCTGGGCCTGGACACTGTCCATCAGTTCTTCAGCTCAAGGCTAACACTCCACCACTTGAGCCACTTCCAACTTTTTATGCTTATGTGGTGCTGAGGAATAGAACCCAGAGTCTCATGCATGCAAGGCAAGCGCTCTACCACTAAGCCACCTTCCCAGCCCCAAGAACTTTCGAAAATTCCAAATATCTGCTTAATTGTGGCCACAAATGGTGATATTTTCATATGATTTTACCATATTTTCCACATTATCAGAAGCATCAGTAAAGTGAATGATTCTGAAAACTGTTCTCAAAATTATGTGTTATCCTCATTGATCTATGATGTTTTTTCTTAATGGATTAATTCTAAATCTTCCTTAAGATAGGAAGTCACACTGATGAGAAATATTTAGGATGGATTGATTTATTGTTGAAGGAATTTTGACAATATTTTCTCTTGGCTCAAGATAACAATCCTGCAGCAGTGTCGTGATGAAATACTTTAACGTTTTACTATGTGTTCAGTAAAGAAATATTAACTTTCCATTGTTCTAATGCTGCTCAGCATTCTTAAGGTAAACTACGTTCACAAAACCTGTTCCAATTACTAATAAGCTAATCTCTCAAATGGTTTGCTGAACACTAAAGATCAATACTCTCGATTGAAATTCCCATGGCTAACACAATCTATCCTACCTATCCCAAATGACAAGGAATTCTTCAGCTGATGATGGCATCCTATTGGTGGCCACATTGTCACAGCCTTGAAGCCATCTTCCTCTTGACTGTTCCAGTAATTTTGCCGTATGGATTGTCCAAAGGCAGCAAGACCTGTAGTAAAACCACAGACATTAAATAAGCCCTCTTCTTTCTCTGAAACAATGAAGATAAAACTTGTTACACAGGAAAATATGTGAAGGTACTTCAAGCATGGGAATGCCTTCTTTTCCTTGTGATCATTGAAAGCTGAGTTCATTTTTCAGAAAATTAAGAATCTTTTTTAAAAAAGATATTTGATCATTGGGATAAAATGCCTCTAGAGGAATGCATTACATATCACTGCTTTTTGAATAGTGCAGTGAATACAACTGAACCTTTTCTTGATGACTTACTTTGTATATCAACCGTTGGTCAATGCCATAATCCAGCCATCGGATGCCCTCAAGAGCTCCATAGAGCTATTAGGACAATGCTAATGGTTCTAGATAGCTGTACCTTTCCACTCCATTATTGTCAGTCTGCCTCTACTCCCTGTTTCTCATGTTGCCTTTACTTTGTACATACCCAGGCAATGGTCTGCATGTAGCATCAACCATCCCTGAGGCATTTGGATCAGACATTCAGACTTTTATGCAGTGCCTTTCAACCTGCAAGCCTCCAGGTAAGATTTAGGAGCAGGCAGGCTGTGAGTCTGACTTCCTTAAAGCAAAGAAAAACTGTGATTTCAACTCACAATGAGGTCCTGGAAGAGATCAGTTCAGGTCTGAGGCTCATGAGGCCCAGAGAACCTCCTATCTGTCTGGGCCTTGAACTAAGCACTATGCTAGTCGTGATACCTAATCCTTTCTCTGTTTGAGGCCCATTCACTTTGCCTTTAGTGGAGAGCTCTCTCTCTCTTTCTGTCTCTCTCTCTCTTTCTCAATATATATACATATATATGTATGCATGTATCTGTATCTATATCTAATATATATACATGATTCCTCTCAGGTCTCTCTCTCTTGCCCTACACCAAGTATTCATTGTAAAAATGCTTTCCATTCTAATTAAGGGAATGTGATAGGCACCATCCTTTCCTCTCAAATGAACAGTGCTTGCTTACACTGATGAGCAGTGCATGGGACCAGGTTGCCTCCTCTGCAACTCAGGACTCCAGCCTTTCCTTCCTTCACTCTGTCTCCCGATGGGAGAGTAATAACGCTGAGGCCTACTGTGGCCCTCTTCCAAGATCTCGAAGCTATTTTCTGGGGCACACTTGGTTCCTTGTCTTTATTTTTTCTGCAACGTCCAACCTCTTCTACAATTGTGCATCCACTTCTGTGGGACTTCAGCCTCAGGCATTGAGTCTATGAGATCTTTAATCACTGCAACTATACATTTTTCCTAACACAGCCATTGTTCAGATTGGGCAATGATATTATCATTGCAAGTTTAAGGAGATTTTGAGTGAATGAAGCAGAAATGTGCTTGGAATGTTTTTTGAGGTTTTCTTACCTCTTCCTTGTTAATCAGTCCCATTTTGGACATGTCTATGTTAAAGTAGTGAATGTTTGGCAGGCTGATTTCCATATCTTCGATCTGGAATCCAAAATAGTATGTATCATAGGAGGCACACGTGAGTCTGTTTCTCTCACTCCACCCACTCTTCACTCCTTCTACCCACTTACCAAGTACTCCACATCCTGCTCCGTCTTTGAGACACCTTCTCATCCACCTCTAGTGTTCAATGTGTGTTCTCTTGCACATCCTATCATTACATAGTAAGCCCATTCCTCTCCCCTTGTATCTCCAATAAACCGCTGAGAAAAAGCTGGAAGTGGCTCAAATGGTAGAGCACTAGCCTTGGGCAAAAGGAAGCTCAGGGACAGTGCCTAGACCCCGAGTTCAAGTCCCAAAATTGGGGGAAAAATCATCTGACTCTTTGGAGTGTTGTGCCAAGACATGTATTATGTGAAGAGCTGTCCCCAGCCCATGGTCCATCCCACCTTTCTGTCTTGGGCTCACATGAGTACATACTGCAGCTTGCATGTCAGTTCTCATCTACACCATACCTTCTACAAACATCTGCCCTTTTGCTGTTTGGAGGCCAAAGGCTGTGTATACTAATAAACATGATTTTCCTTCTGGAGAGTGGGTCTCCAGAAGTGGTTTGCCCAGTCTCTGGAAATAGTTGCAGGCTATTTGGACCGGAAATGCTGGAAAAGGAGCCAACTTGTTTTCGTTTTTGTTTGTTTGTGTGGATTTTTTGCTGGTACTAGAGGGTCTCATGTTTGCTAGGCAGTTGCTCTATTTGAACCATACATCCAACCCTTTTTACTTCAGTTATTTTTCAGTCTTGTGGATTTCCCAGGCCAACCTGGACCATGATCCTCTTATCTGTAGCTCTCATATAACTGGAACTACAATCATGTATCATCGTGCCTGACTTGTTAGTTGAACTGGAGTCTCACTAAAGTTTTTCCCAGGCTGGTCTAAAATCATGACCTTCAATCTCTGCTTCAAGTGCTTGGAATTTTAGATGTAAACTACTGAAAATAACTCTTCCACCAACCCTAACCCTGTGTGGCTGGTGCTTTTCTCCTTCCCCTGCATAGCCATGGCCAGATTTCTACAATAGTCTCCCCCAGATCTCCCCACATGTGATCCATCATCCTTTTTGCTCGTCACACTACTGTCAGAGATTTTCCTTGGGAATATGGCCAGGCCGCAACCTGTTTAAGTCCCTCCATGGTTCCCAATGCTCTTAGGATAAAAATGCAAACATTAAGCCCAGAAGGGACGCTTAGCTGATTGCTGCCTCATGTCTAAGCTCACTTTTGAAGATTCAATGGGTGATCGACCTTTAACAGAAAATAACTACATCATACATGTAATTTTTTGTATCTATATCTACCCTGCAACCTCAATTAAGAGTGTAAGTTTAGATTACCCACACACACATACACACACACCCAAGTGCACACATGCACACATGTCTCTAAAACCTTAATGCACACACCTGTCCCCTCAGAAAATCTGACTGGCCTTTTTTTTACCCTACCCAAGGTAGACTCTTCCTTTGTATTTCTATAATAATGTATAATCTACTGGATTGTTTACTTATTTTCTTTCTTCATTGAATGATGAGCTCTTTGAGGGCAAAGACCATGGCTAATTTATCTCTGTATCCCTTGTGCATTGCCAGAGAAATAAAAACCAATAACATCAAATAAATGATGGATGGATGGGATGGATAAATAGAATAAATCTGTGTACATTTATCTTTCATTCTCTGGATCCCTTGAAATGTAGAACTTCCATCTAATTATCAATCAAGGCATTTAAGTGTCTGGAGTTTGAGGCTTAAATCAGTGGCAGGTTGAAGTAACTCAAAGAATTTTCAACAAAACTAAAAATTGATAGCAGTGGCCTGTGTTTTTAGGTTGAACAGATTTTTCCCTTTTTTTCCTCTCTTCTCACTTGCTATAACAAGCTTTTGAACAACAACAGATGTCATTTCTCATGTGTCTTCCACTTTCTTATTTTAACTCTCAACTCCTTCTCAGAGCTGACAGGAGACACAAGGTTCTTAGTCCTCACAATGGTAAGTGACAAAACATACCTCAGGAATCTGGCTCAGGGAGAGCACCTGTATGTCATAGAGGGTCTTCTGCACAGAAGGAGAGTATTCACCTTTGTCAAAGGGACCAGCAAATTTCTCTAGAACAATGTTCCGCACCGTGTCCCTGAAACACACAGAAGGAAACCGAGCCCTCTCATAAAATGGTATTTTAGGAAGACATTATAGAGCTAAGAAGTAGTTACATTTCTGTCTCCCAGAAAACATTTCTCTTGATGGTTGTAGAAAGGATTATTATCCCGTAACCCCAACCACCTCCTCATCTTCCTCACCCCTCTCCCCCCAAAATAACTTCCCATTTCTCTCTCTCTCTCCTCTCCCTCTCCTTCTCCCTCCCTCCCTCTCTCTCTCTCTCTCTCTCTCTCTCTCTCTCTCTCTCTCTGTCTCTCTCTCTGTCTCTCTCTCTCTCTCTCTCTCTCTCTCTCTCTCTCTGTCAACACACATACACACACACTCAAAATCATTGAATGACACTAAGCTATTCTCTTAGATTGGTTCTAGGGCCAAATGCCATTCATTTCAGGGCAAATTCCCCACCGTGTTTGAAGGAGGTCCTATGAAGAGACACCCAACCCTGAACCCTGTCACTACTCACTGGCTGGTTCCTGGAACTGTTGCCAGCCCCTGTGCTATGCAGTTTATGTGATTATGTCATTAAACTCTCAATGTAACTGGGACAGGTAGTATTGTTATCTTTAGACTAGAGATGATGAACTTGAGTTCAAAAGTTAAACAATCAACTCTGAGTTCCTTTCTTTCCAGGAATGGCCCAGAGGACTCCCCCGATGCTGGCATGTTAACTCATGCTCTTTTCAACATTTCTCACTGCCCCGGGAAAACATTTGAAATAAAATAAAGGGAATAGAGGGTTGAGGAGAGGCTCTCTGTAAGCATTTAAAACCTATCACACAATAAAAAGAGCAGAGCAAAAGTGGGAGGAAGCTATGTGAGGGAAGAGAGAGAGGGAGGGGAATGGATTCCAGCTCATCACAGGAAAGAAATTTCTGGCAATTAAAGCTTCAGCAAAGGAATAAGATAACCTAGTCAAAAAAGCAAGCTCTGTGAGCTCAGAAGCCTAATTATTCCTTGTCAAAGAGAGAATAATCATCCTCATACCTTTTGCATTTGTCGTTTACAAAGTACTTCTAATGAACACCATATCACTCTGAGTTTAGTCTGGGGTGACCAATTTTCCCAGTTTGCCTAGAACCAAGGGATTTCCTGGGTCATGGCAATATCTGTGAGAAAGCCACAGGTTGGCCCCCCATTTAGCCATCTCCACATCACGGTGAAGTACGAAGGCTGGTTTCTATCTTCACTTGAGACAGCGCTTCTTAACGTGTGCCCCTGAATCCAGCAGACTGAGCTGGGAATTCGTTCTAACTACAAATCCTCAGGGCTCTGGAGGTGGGCTCGGTGAGCTCTAACAAGCTCTCGAGTAACTCCAGTATATACTAATTCTATTCATTCTAATTTGAGAACCACTGATTTAGTAAATTGAAAAACAGAAGGGATTTCTGACTGATGAGTTGAATGGCCTCTAGGATTCCCTTTTAGAACTAAGACTCCACAACTGTGGGCCCCTGGGAAGAGAGCAAACACTACCTGCCCATAGGTTACCTGACCACAGATTAGGTCCTAACACTCATTCATACCAAGTAGCCTCAAAGTCCACATCTTTGTTCTGGTGATAGCGCCATTTGCAGTACACTTGGGTGGCAAAACACCGGTCCTTCACTTCAGGGAGGGTGGTGAACTGGTCCTTGATGAATCCTTCAAATCCAGACTGGGTTGTTTTCAAGACCTTGAGGTCTTTGATTCCAGAATGGATGACTGGAGGCCCTGTTTCAAATAGGAGAAGGAGAGGCTTTAACAAAGCAGTGTCTTCTTATGAATGCTGAGCACAATGCTGAAGATTCTGGCCATTTAAATATTAAATATTTAAATGTAGCCTGGTGCCGAAGGCTCACACCTGTAATCTAAGCTAGTTAGAAGGCTGAGATCTGAGGATCTCAATTCAAAGTCAGCCTGGGCTGGAAAGTCCATGAGACTCTTATCTCCAATAAACTACCAAAAAAAGAAAGGCAGAAGTGGAGCTATGGCTAAAGTAGTAGTGCTAGTCTTGAGCAAAAGAACTACAGGGACAGTGCCCAAATTCTGAGTTCAAGCCTGAGGACCAGCACACCCACCCACCCACCCACCCACACTACCTCCTCCATTATACACAAAAACCCATAGTACAATGTGCTTGCACAGAAAATTATCCATCTGTATTTCCTGACCTCCTGTGTCCTCTGAACTCTGAGTAATGAGGACGCTGTGCCTTCCTACCTAAAGTTCATGACTCTCTTTCCTTTCCTGATTTAAGAAACTGAAGGTCTAAGAATAAACTCCCATACAATTCTGAAAAATACAGAAATTTTAAGCTTCTCTCAGTCAAACATACCATATCTCTCAGTCAACTACCTTACATGTTTTGAAATTCATCACATTCAGCGGTAATCATATTGAAATGTGTTAGTAAGCTCCTCACAAGTAATTCTCTTTGCTATGAATCTTCTATTGGGGTAGCCCTCAGTTGGTGACTGATGACTCCAGTCACCACTAGACTCTGATGCCAGCTCAGTGTACTTGAGGTTATGAGCTCAGACAACCTCATGAATGGTTAGCAGCGTGGGCCTGGCTGAGCCTAAAAAAAGACTGCGGAGATGAATCCGGTGACTCACAGGCCCACATATACCTCAACTGATTTCCATAAAGGCTTCTGTGTTACAGCTGAAGATTTGGGGTTTGGACTGAAGTTGCTTTGGGCTCAAGAAAAAGGGAGTTAAAAGCCAAGAAGGGATGATATGGCTCTGGCGCTTCTTCCGGTATCTTCTTATAAAGCAACAGGACTACAGGGCAGGTAGTAGGTGGCAGACATAATCTAAAGAAGCTACTTATTGTCAGGTGCTGGTGGCTCACAACTGTAATCCTAGCTATCTGAAGGCTGAGATCTGAGGATCCCAGTTCAAAGCCAGCCCATGCAGGAAAGTCTGTGAGACTCTTATCTCTAATTAACCACCTGAAAACTGGAAGTCTACCCAGGGAAGTAATACGTAAAGCTAGAGAGAGAATCACTCCCTAACTTTATTTCTCTATGAAGCAGACTATGCTGCAGCTCCAGCAGTTTAGTGGAACCTAAGAGTACTTGCTCCTGATGGCACACAGAGAAATTCCAGGTATTCTGCTCCATGGAGATGTACTCTTCCCAAGGAGAAGAAGCAACTGATATAACATGTAGACAGAGGCATGGCACACTCTTTCTTGAGTATATGCAAGTCAACCTCTGAAGGCTGTCAGAGATGGGAGAAATAGGCTGGACAAGTCAGAAGTATCATAATAAGAAAATCACAGAACCCGGAAACTCTGAAAATGAACATCACCTTGAACTAATTTGTATGCCCAGGTTAGTGGGACAGGTGACATTCAGGGAACACGTGGAGAATCCCAATAACAAATGTCAGGATGATCAAGGTCATCTATTTGTAATTGCTAAGTTGGTCCTGACAAATATCTATCCTTCTTGGCCTGCTTAGTCTCAAAGTTATGGGTTAGGAGTGTTAGACATCACCACATCCATCGTCTGAAAAACAAGAGTATAACTCATGGCCTTCAACTAAAGTCAAAGGAAGTTCTTAAAATCCAGTGGGTAACATCACCTATGTGGGTCCAATTGCTGCAGTTTATTTAGTAGCTGTAGAGTTTCAGAGCAAGGTAAATAATGACTATATTTTGGTATTTTCAAAATACCAAAGCAGTACCCAGAAAGCAGTACCCAGGGGTTAGCGGTAGATCTTCCAATTAAATATGTGCTGATTAAATCAAGTGTTCAGTATTTCAGGACAATGTGGTAAAATAGAAAATGTACAACAATTATGTTTAACTTTCTGAAAGTCTTATATGAAGAATGATCAAAAGAAAGATACCAGCAATGCTTTCATGACTTCAGTGAGACATGTTTATCAGATTCAAAATATATAAAGACATGGTCCCTCACACAAAAATAACTCGGTATTTTAAATCTAGGAAGCCTAAGTCTTAAACTCAAGAGAAATGCAGAAGCTATCAATAGGTATTTGCGAAATGAATAAGTGTAGCCAGATTGATTCATGCATTTGCACGAAGAGCCTTGCAATGGAGTCTTCTTCCCATCTCAACAGTTCACCTCCATTATCTCTACAGTCTCTCCTTCTGATGCCCCTACCACACAGCTAAGGGGAAAGGCACCAAACATTGGTTGAAAGCCTCCTCTCTGAAGGCATGCCTTTGGTTGTTGCTTTGTGCAGTGCTTACATTACTCGATCCTCAGAAGTCTATATAGTATTGTTGTGTAGGTGATTTTTACTCATCGGTTCATAATCACAGGGCTGAAAACTAATAGGGATAAAGTGGAAATCCATCACCACATTATGAGATTCCTTGCTTTTCTACCCCAATTCTAGATCATTCTCCAACTGTGCAATGCTTTCCCCTTCCTTAAACTCTCCCTCATTTCTGCACCATATGAGGCTTTTCAAATGAGAAGGTTGCCACTTCCCATTCCACAATATGCTCTGAGGGCCTCAGAGAGAGGCCCCCGATGATCATACCATCTTCCTTGGGCTGAAATGGAGATGAAAGCATCATTTCTGTATGTCTTGGAAACTTTTTGTCCCTTAAGTTTTTCATATTCAAATGCAAAGATCCCTTAAAGGAGGTGTCTCCAGCCTTTGTGAGCCAATAATTGCAATCTGCCTCTTCTAATACCCCGTCTAGAAAACAAATACTATTGAAGTGCAACATGAATTTGTGATTAGTAGTGGAGTTAAAACAAGTAGTAGAAATCCTTGGGGAGGAGTAAAAAGGTAAAAGAGAATGTAAAGAAAATTTTGCCTACCATACTTTTTCAAAAGAATCCGGCCTTGATCCTCAGCATCTACATAAGCCAATCAAATTTTAGCTTCTCCAGTAGTCTTACTAATATTAGCTAGCAAACCTGATCTGAGTGTAGCAGTGCACTCCTGTAATCCTAGCTAGGTAAAAGGTATAAGTAGGAGGATCACAGTCTGAGATCCACCTGTGCAAAACTCAAAACCCTATCTGAAAAAAAAAAAAACTAAAGCAAATAGGGCTGGTAGCATGCTCTACTAGTAGAATACCTGCTTGACAAGTGTGAACTTTAGTACCACTGAAACAAGAAGAAGAAGAAGAAAAAGAAAGAAAGTTCCAGAATGCAGACCTAAATAATAGTTCCATTTGGGAACTTGGATTTCCCTAAATTTAAACCCTAGTGCTCTTCTTGCCTCTCCAGTGTTTCTTTTTTTGTTTTGGTCCGGTCGTGGGGCCTGAACTCTGGGCCTGGACGCTGTCCCTCAACTCTTCAGCTCAAGGCTAGTGCTCTACCACTTGAGCCACAGCGCCACTTCTGGCTTTTTTCTTTTTGCTTATGTGGTGCTGAGGAATCAAACTCAGGGCCTTGAGCATGCAAGGCAAGCGCTCTACCACTGAGCCACCTTCCTAGCCCTCCAGTGTTTCTTTTTATGAGCATTATACACCTAAGAAAATTACTTGACTTTTTCCTACTTTGATGTTCTCATCTATAAAATAGCAATAATAATCATACTTGTTCTCTGGGGTTGATCACTGCCTGGTGTAATGCACATGAAGCATAACATGGCTGCCATATAAGAAATGTTCCATGAAAGTCATTATAAAGATTTTGTTACATTCAACTTTTTGCCATCAGCTTCAAACACTTGGAAACCTCCCCCTGTTTTTCAAAGGCTCATTGGGATTTGAATAAAGCAAACAAACAAACAAAAGGAAAAACCTTCTCTTGTGCCATCCTATCCACCATTGGCCCTAGGATGAGGCTTATCAACCTTGGGGCACGTTAGTCCTGCCAGACCAAATTAAAATGATTTACTTTTTCTCTAGAATCTGCAAGTGGAGAAAATGCAAAACACATTTGGCATCAGCTTGCCACAGAATAAAGGTCTCCTGTTTCCAAAGACAGTTAACTACTGTCACAGTGTTGGAAGCTCACACACCATCTACTCTAGGGCCTCTACCATGTCTATGAACAGTATTCACAAAAACTATTCTCTTTACATGTTAAGCATAATTTTTCCCCTGGCACGTAATAGACACACTGGATAAAATAAGAGCGTTTTTTTTTTTTTTGGTCTTCCCATGTTGGCAGTGCCCCAGCTCTCTGAACACTGGTAAGAACCTCAAGCTTTCAGCTTTCAAATTCATGGGGCCATCAACTAAAAATATGATGCTAACCATACTCTTTAAAAAAAAAAAAAAGGACCTGGCTTAAAAACAAGAAGTAATTCAAGTGGGACACCGGTAGCTGGTTGACAAGGTTGAGAGCTGAAGATCAGTTTGTAGCTAGCCTGGGCAGATACATACGTGAGATTCTTAGCCAGCAAAAAGCTGCAAGTGGAGCTGTGTCTCAAGAGGTAGAACACCCAGCCTTGAGCAGAAAAAGCCAAAAGAAACCCGGAGGCCCTGAATTCAAGATGGAGTACTAGAGCGCGTGCACAATTAAAAAAATGGTACGTCCCTACCTAGATTACTTCCCATTAAACCACTTCATCAGCTTTTTACCCCTACCATGGCTATTGAGTAATGCAAAATGGAGATTTTTTTTTCACATTTCATTTTGCTAGAACATAATCCTTTCTAGCTCTTAGTGTCCTCCTACACACTTAACAGATTGTGGTTTATCTCACCGAGAAGCATACATCTACCCTTTAGCTCTCAAAAGGAAAGAAATTCACTGTGAATTAATAGAAAATAAGCCCAGCTCCGTA